ATCGTCCCAACTGACGAAATGTGCCTTGGCCCTTGACCTCTCTGCAACAGCTTATCAGTGCACATGGGTGGAGAATGTTTGAAAAAGTTACCCCGGCCGGCGACCGATAGTCGGAAAGACGAAATGCTCACGTTGTTGTCAACGATCGTCATAAACAGTCAGTGCTATTCTGAACAGGGCTGCGGAGTGCGGAGTCGATAGATTTTAAGGTGACTCCGACTCCGACCCCGACTCCGGCTTCAAAAATCGACTCCATTTCCATCTCCGACTCCAGCTCCGACTCCGGGCATTGCTCATTAAGTCCATATAATGAAATCACATTTTAGGTTGGATATTTTTCATCTTGCCTGAAACGAAATTTTACGCGCTCCAAGGCCCTGTATTGCAAATGAGTACCTACTCTTGAAATAGCGTGCAAAATAAAAACAGGTTTTGACGCAGCAGCCTTCTTCAGCTTTTTTAAATAAAAACGCTGGTCCAAAAGAGGTCCTTATATTCAACAAAACCTGATTTTGAAAGGTCAACGAAAGAAAAATCGTCAAGCAACCAGGTGCAAGGCATGGCTTTGAGCCATGCAGTCTTAACTCCAACTCCGGAGTCGGAGTCGGTAAGATTTTAGCGACGCTGCAGCTCCGCCTCCGACTTCGGGCAATGGTTTTGAAAAAGTGCGCCGAAAGCGCGCCAAATTTTCGAAACTGAACAGTGAACAGGATTTGAGTTGGCAGTGGCGACCACAAGCGGGTCCTAGGGTTGGAGATTATGGCAAGTTAAGTAAATCATAAATACCTACCTGATTTGCAATGGTATGCCCATGGAAGTCAATATTCGAAGAGGGAGTTTTCTTTGCTCGTATGGAGACATTTTTTTAGGATTTACAAGAGTGGAAAAGTTACCCCGGCCGCGCCGGGGTAGACTGAAAGTTACCCCGGCCACGGCCGGGGTGGCCGGGGCAGGTTCTCCACCCATGTGCAGATAGTTGCCTGCCATGAATCCGGGAAAAGTCCGGCACGCCCTTTCAGCAGACAGCCCCCCTCCCCCCCCCCCAACGAGCTGAGCAGGCTCACAGCGCCACAGAGTAAGGCGCTGTCCGGGAGTCAGTTTGTGAGCAAGTCGCCAGGTGGCGGATAATTACACAATGTTCATGTGCTCACGTCATCATGAACTATGTCAAACACGAAGATATTGTGTTTTACTGTTAAATTATCTGTCAAGCACAAACCACAAGAGAAACCACAGAAAACTAATAGGTCTGGCGAGGGTTAAAGCTACGCAGGTGTAGTCTAGGTGGCCCGTGACACTTGTTCATTACAGAGCTGTGCATTTTCACTTTTCAACAAATATCTACATACGTGCACGCACGTAACAGTGTTTTGTCTAAGCTAGTCTAGTCAAAGTATGAACCTTTGGAGTTAGGCCGTGTAGCTATATATAGGCGGCCGTTCAGTAGATACTGGTCTGTGTAATATTTTTTTTTTTTTTAATAATTGTCTACATAGCGTCAAATATCATAGGTGCGGTTGACCGCATCCCTCCCATTGCGTAATGCGTGCAGGAGCTGATATTCCCGATGATATCACTGATATCTGCATGGGCCACGGCGCGTACATACCTGCACGGGGAGGGCGGCAGATGCGGGACACTATTGTTTGTCCAGCAATCGTCCTGTGCACCATTAAACGATAGCGGGAAGCTATCGATCGCTGGCACTGTTTGCTCCGGTACCGGCCACGCGGTTTTTGCTGGCTTTGAGGGTCTTATCAGCTGCAGTCGGCGGCTTGATTTTCCAATTCAAAATGATTGGGCTTGGCATTTGCTGAAATGAGGAGTACGATTGTTAGGCATCCTATAGCGAAGTCCTCGCACTAAGACACCAATCAAATGATGTAATGTTATTTTTGTTAATAACATAAATTCAGTTCAATGAGAAATCAAATTTATGACACTAATTTAACGTATTCACATGTTAGTTCTGAAGTTCTCTAAAGGTTTGATTAGGTCCAGGTAATTAGAAGGTAACATACTCATAGGTGTACCTTGATTTTATTGACAATTACCATGACATTGCAATGCTTCAGGTTCGATAAACTTTTTTAGGAATGAAAGGCTTATTCAATGATTTTTTTCTGACAGTATCATCTCAGGACCATGCCACTAATACTGAGCCTGATTGAAGAGCTTGAGCTAGCAAGCTAAAAAGAATTAATTGAGCTCTGGCTGCCAAATCAAGCGATATACCAACAACAAAACATCCCCTCCGAAGCCCTGATCTGAACCTATTCGACCTGACCTTAAAAGGACCCTCCCACCTTCAAAAAAAAGTTAATGAATTGGCATGGAAGTGATGTCGCTTGGTTCAGAAAGAGCGAAAACGAATTGCTACCAAATTTCATCGAAAAATAAACACCGGTGTTCAAGATATTATACTTTTACTTTTGTTTATTTTTGGGATCTCTGCTCTTCCTAGCGACTTTTTTTGAAAGTGCGGCACTTGTTGCGCGCAAAGTAGCATATACCACCGCGTGCTACTAAACGTTTTAGTAAAGGATTTAAAATCGTTAGATCTGCGCTGATGTCACACATTCAGAGGGAGTATCCTAATGCATTAGCCCCTCTGAATCCAAGTGCTACAACTTTGAAATTAGATATTTTCGATTTGAGGCATTTATCGATCTTGTGAGTGCTCAAACCGGTAAGTGCAAGTCAGGGACCCCATTTTGGCCATCTCAGCTCAATACTAATGTTAAGGTGGGATGGTCTAACCATGTACTTTAATTGACCTCTTCTAGCCAAAAGTATAGCACGATACGTTTCTGGACTGAACATTGCAAAGTTTCTAACATTAGGTATTGAGCTGTGGTCATATTTGCTGGCTCATAACAAAATGATGCCGCCGTTTGGTCTTTGGCCTAGCCTTTTAGTTATTCTTATATTCAGGTACCTCCCCCCACACAGACGTACACACACTCCCGCTTGTATGTAGAATCCAGTGTCCTCGCTTTTCGACAACCTCAGGCTCATCAGGAGTGAAAGCCGAGAGAATCCCATAGAGAAGGTAGGTTATAGGTATTTGGTGAATGAAGAGCGTAGTGTGTAAATGCATGTACCAGTCGAGAGTTTCTTTTTCGAGAATCGTTTCAAGGTAGCATTTGGGGCATTCCACGATAGATCGTACCAGGCCCGTCACCCTCATCCCTCAGATTTGAATGAAAATTGGTACTAGGGGTAATCATAGGCTCCAACAACACCTGCCAAAATATAAGACTTCTCAGATGAAAACTTTTTGAGTTATATTGCCTAATATTTTCTAAACTCCAGATTGCAAGGGTGAGTTTGATGAGCTATAACTTAAAAACGAGCTAAGCAAGCAACAAACGGTAAACAGCTTTGAACTAACGATGAATCAAAGATTAATACAGCTTTTTTAAAATTGGAAAGAAAAGCTTTACATATTGAAAAAAGTCGTAATATTTTTTTAATTGTCTATAATGGCCCTTGGGACCAAAATTTTTGCCATTTTTATTTCCTCAAAATAAACTTCAGGCTATTTAAAATCGACATGAAAAAAATAGAAAGGTGTTCTTTCTATAAGTTCCTCATTTTAATGCATACTAATTGGGTTTCCGGGGGGTCGGAACGACCCCAGCTCGCCGTTTCGCCTCTAATGGAGCTAGAACCTTGCGGAAAAAACGAGCATGTGCTCCGTTACAAGATGCATCGAATGATACCACATTTTAAGGTCTCGGGTTCATTGGTGAACCCTGAGGTCATTTCAAGTGACCCAAATTACGGGTCCGGTTTTTTGGTAGATAACTTCGCAACAAATGGTCGCAGAGCCGCGATTTCAGCATCTTTGTGTTTGCCTAGCTCCGGCGCGTCGAATGGTATACTGTTTGTTCTGGTGAGGTCAGCATAAGTCTCTGATCTCGGGTCAGCACACTGCCGTATATTTGGCTCCGCTCCCCGACCGGGCGGCCCAGCCGGCAGCCAGCCCCCGGGCATCACGTGACCGCCCCGAGTCCGCGGCAAAGCCAACCAGCGCGGCGCTGGACAAACAGCGCCGCCACAGAGATGTTAACAGTCGGGTCAGGCCACGAAACTGGGTGAATGAGATCATATTGCACATCATTCGATTCGCAAGGTCTTCCCGAGTCCATTGGTAGCTTTCCCGTCTCTCTAGTTCAATTTGATCGAGAGTTATTGACGAAAAACTCTTATGACCCTAGTGACGTACGATTGACGTCACGCAAGGTCAACAATGCAAAAGTCAGGCACAAATGACTTCAATTGAACTTTCAGTAACCGGTGATGTCACTAGGCAGCTTTACCACGCCATTTGTAGGCTCTCTTCCCGAAATCACAATTTGAGACCATTACGGTAACGCAAAATAAGTACATTTATAGAAAGAACACCTTCCTAATTTTTGTCATACTACTTAATAATGATCCAAAAATGTTTTTAAGAACATAAAAATTCAAAAAAAAATTGGTCCCAAAGGCATGAAAATGCAAAGGAAAGGAAGCTCGAGGTGTTATATATCAAAAAAAGTTTACATTTCAAAATTTTAAAAATGAATGTTATTCTTTGTTTCAATGCAAGTTCAATGCCGTATAGCATTTGGCATTTCGATTATCCGTCTTAGAGTTACAGCCCGCCAAACATGGCGCTGCAACGCGAGATCCAAAACATGTTATTCACTATAACTTAAAAACTACTCATCTGATAAGCCTGAAATTGTCACAGGAGGATTCAGAGCCCCTGATTACCCCTTAGACCAATTATCGTTAAAATCCGAGAGATGAAGGTGTCAAATTGGAAAAAAGTGATACGATCTATCGTGGAATGCCCCATTTACGAAAAGTGTGATTTCGTGGGTGACAGTGATTAGTAGGTACCTAACTTTGGAAAAGTACCCCTTCGTCGTCAAGGTACCCCTTCGTCGTTTCCTCGCATCCCTTTATAAGTATATTCTTCTCCGTGTGATTCCGCATAACTACTCCTCTTGTGTCTAAAATAATTGTATTCGTGAAACAGCAACAGTTGTACGACAATATACACTGAGCTTTGTTACATCATTCGACATGTCTCTACATCACACGAAAGTGCCATGAAAAGCCATCATTAGGTACTCTTTAGAGCGTTGAAACGTAAACACATATCTTTGAAAACAATTTCCTGCTTGTGGATGACACTATACAAGAAGTGGTGCACAAATTACGAGCTCCTGTATCGCTTTGACTGAAACAACTACATAAACTTGTTACACCTAAACGCAGTTCGCATGAACTTCCCGGTTAACTTGCTTATTTTGTTTCTCTTCCGGATATCGCAATCGACCGTGCCACCTCGTGTTATCTTTGACTGGATATATGGCGGAAGCCTCTTGTTCCGGTCGTCATGTTTACTTTCGGGAGGGATGGAGAAATGTAAAGCAGAAATCTGTTCATTGTTTGGCACAGAAAACGTCATCATTGACGCCTCAATCGACCGTAGATGACAGGAGACAAATGAAGATCTCCTGTTAACTATGGTTACATTAAAGAGCGTGCATTTCATCTCACATGACCTGTTAGGGCTCAGCACTTGGTCATGCTTTGATGCAAATGTTGGTATTTAGTATGACACGTAAACTAGTTTGGAGTGAAAAGTAGCAGAAATGGTTTAAATACCCTCAAGTTTCTTTTAGGACAAAAGCTTTTGCAAGTTCCTTTAGAAAAACGGAAATTTACACGGCAGTTGTTTTAAAGATATGAAGAAAATAGGACGCATTCCCATCAAGCAAAGTCGCAAGCAATATTGTGCTTTACTTGCACATAAGTTCTTGAAGTTAATTTTCTGAAGCATCATTCCAGTCCACGGATAATGCCTTCGAATGGCTCCTATCCGAACCTGTATGGCCAACTCTTGCGCAGGTATTGAACTTCTAGTTACCATTCAAAACATGACAGCAACAACGACCAACACATAACAGCCACTGTAAAGCCGTCTACCGGTCATATGCCCCTCACACATACATACGTCGAATGATGACCAATTAAGAAAGGTCACAGGCGCACAGAAAGACCATCGCCGTCCGGCCGTGAGCCGTGATTTCTCAAAAGTAGCGGCAGCGCCGAAAGCCAGGTGTCATCCGGACGACATTTGGCACAACATTAACATTCTGGCCGAAGCAGGTGAAGTCAAACTTCATCAAACGCGGCCGGCGGCTGTAGTGAACGCACTACACCCACCTACCACGGCGACGCCAGAAAGTATTTATCGAAACGCCAGCCGAAAAGTCAACAGCAGCTCAAATTTACATAATGCTGCCTCACGAATACGCACAAATGTAAATTTCTGTCTGGTTCGTACACTGTGCAGCATATATGGATGGTAGTGTAGGATCGCCACAACAGTTTGTGATGCCGATAGATGCGTGTGCGTGGCACACACAGGGAGTTCGAACAACTAGGTGCGGCTCACAGCCTGCAGAGTTCTACCATCGGTCACAGCAAACAGCCTGTGATTTCACCCACTGTGAGCTAGTTGCAGCCTGTGACACTGACGACCGCACGGCTCAGAGTCCAGTTCAACACTCCACGCCCGTCCTCCAGTCTGCGTTTCGGACGAGTGCGCCGGGTGCTCGGCCCGCGGCTCTCTGGCGGCGCTCACACGCACGTCGTGTCGGTGACGCACGCCTGGCGCAGCTTGTTGACCGTGTGGGTGCGTCGGCGACGACAGGGGCGCGCCGGCAGCGACATCAGCGCCCGAAACTCCACCCGAAACTGCTTGTTCATCAGGCAGTAGAGCAGGAAGTTGACGGCCGAGTTGATGAGCGCCAGCATGTCGAGCAGCTCTCCGACGTGCAGGTAGCAGCTGCGGAAGAAGCGGTCCTGCAGGATGCCCGACAGCAGCGCCAGGATGCCCTGCGGAAACTCGGTGATGAGGAACAGCAGCAGCACGGTGACCAGCATCCAGGTGGTGCGGTCGGCCTGGCGCGAGCCGCGCGCCAGCGGGTGGTGCTCGCCGGCCGGCTGGCAGCCCGACAGCAGCCGCTGCTTCCGGCGCTTCGTCTCCAGCAGCACGCCGATCAGACGCACCGAGAAGTACGTCAGCGCCAGGCACGGCACCAGCTTGATGGCCACGGCGAAGAGCCAGAAGTTGACGCGGCTCAGGAGGCCGCCGTGCGCGCGGCCGAGGCTGCTGATGTCGATCCGGTACAGCACCTGGCCGCTGGGAGTCGGGTGGCCGCGCAGCGAGAACGTGAAGTAGGACGGGATGCAGATGATGGGTGTCAGCACGTACGTGGCCACGATGCAGCAGATGGAGTTGCGCATGCTGCAGCAGCGCGACGCCGTGTGCATGTGCACGATGGAGAGGAAGCGCCACACGGCCAGCATCACCGTCATCCAGATGGAGATGGTGTGGAACACCTGCGCGAAGTGGGCGTGAAACAGGATGTACAGCGTGTCCGGGTAGCTGAACGTGTCCTTGATGGTGCTGATATGGCGGCGGTAGGCGAATGGGATGTACTCGACCATCACCATCAGGTCTGCCACCGCCAGGCCCGTCAGGATGACGTTGGTCGGCGAGCGCATCTCCTTGCGCGTCAGCACGGCGATGTTGAAGAGGTTGGCCACCGAGCCGAACAGGCAGACGAAGAGCGCCAGGTAGCCGTGCCAGGGCCGGTACGAGTCGCGCAGCCACTGGCCGCGCTCGCCGCAGATGGCTCGCTCGTCCTCGTCGCCGGTGTCGACGGCCCACAGCTGGTCGCTGAGGCCGCCCAGCTCGCCGCTCTGGCCGGTCAGCTCGCGGTAGATGGCCCAGTCGTCCAGCGTGAAGTTGAGGTCGCGCAGCATCGTCTCCAGGTAGCGCTTGGCGTTCGACGTGACCACTGAGTTGAGCGCCATGGCGGCAGACGTGCAGTGGCGCCCCACCCACACTGTCGGCAGGAGAGGGCGGCGGACGCGTGAGGTTAGGGGTGCGCTCGACAGCGAGACTTTTAGATGACTCCTTTCGCTATTACTGCACTCAGCAACGAGTTGCGATGAATCTTAATGTCATCTATGTAGCTTTGTTTATAGCTTTATTTATTGTGATATAATAAAGCTAACTTTGTTCATTGATATTTATCAACTGTCTGTTTGATCACCTTGTAGGTATATCTGTTCGTGGAAAGCAGTGCATGACAAAAGTGTTGATTGCATGTTATTTTCAAGCATTGAAAAACGAGTTCAAGCAATTCCACGTCATTATTGGCTATAATTCAAATAATTCAATCAAGCTAAATGTTTTGTTTGCTTCGTTTAACTTTGTACTGGAATCGAGAGACTGCAGGGACCGTGCAATATTCAAAATTCGCAACTCATTTCACCCTCACAATAGATTTGGGTCAACGGCTCAAATCTATTAGGTTATTACGGTGAATACGGCCCGTGAACAAGCGATAACCTTACGCAAAACGTTCTCATATCACAGGGGTCTTTATGCTTGGATCAGCTTCGAGATTGGCCTATTTATTCGGGCGTCATTGACAGAAATTGTTTTTCGCCGAAAGTAATCCCAAAAGATTCTGGATACCCATTTACTAGTGTAACTAATGTGAGTCATTTTTCATGTCATCAGCGAAAATCTGGATTTGCTTGGCAAATTCAAATCACATTAGTTTAGGATTGGATAGGGATTGATGGTATTGGAATGGGGATATCAAATTAGTCAGGATGGTTCATTCGCTGCACCACGCTGACCATGGACTGGGCATTACGGTAATGAACTGGTGTGGGCTGAACCGGGGCGGCTACCAGTGAGTACCACGAGCCATCTCGTCAGCGCCCATAATGAGCGGCGAGCTGGTCCCGGCCGGACTGGCGCAACGGGCTGCGGCGCGGTGTTCTATAGTCACAGCGAGTCTGTGGGGGCGCGTTATGCTCTGCCATGATATTCAGGCAAAACGAAATAGTACCTAACAATATATTGTATCATGCATAATTATTATTGAAGTGTTGTATGATGCTTAAGGCCTCAGAATAAGCCAAGCAAACATTTGCTTAAAGTATAAGTTCAACAAATACCACTTCATTATGCTGTTCTACGGAAACAATCTCGATATTGGTTGATTGAACTGTTGAGAAGAAGTTGCACCAGCGCAGCATCGCTATTACCTAAAAATGCGGATCATTTGGTTATTTTACTGCTTCACGCAGCATTGGTTCTTTTACTGCTTCATACACAAACGTCTCGCTCATATGACCACGCATGATATAGCAAGGCCCGATAACGAGCGCAGACCGTTTGTAGCAACTGTGATCACTGGGATTGCAATATCCAAGGCAATATCCCTAACTTCAAAACCGTTACATTTCTCATTCAGTCAAACACCTTTTAGCACGTGCAATGCTTTCCATTGAATAACGTGAGTTGAATTTGTGAAGCACATTATTGGCAACACAATGAACAAAATAAAACGAAGCAGCCTATCGAGTAGACGCATTCAACCCCAAACCATTTATTCTGTAATCTGATGTGATAAAGTACTGCACTGAGCATTCAAGTCAGGAAGAGTTGTGATTATCAAATAGCTCTTGCTCCTATAATGTCCCTGCAATTTTTAAATGAGTATACGTATTGAATGTCCGTGAAGTTGGCGACGTCGCCAGCGACTTTTCCAGCGACGAGCACCGATTTTAGCCAAAACCTCGTCCAAGGTCAATTGGACCATGAGGATCACGAAAATCGAACCCATTCACCCCTGAACCTTGACCTTCAAGGCCAAATTCAAGGTCAAAGGACGGGGAACTGAAAAAGTGCCACTAAATATTGTCCGATTTTCAAAATTTTGGCACCAAAATGTAGCGCGTGCAAAGTTCTAGCCGCACATCGAAAGCCATTTTCATCAAGGTCAAACTTCAAGGTCAAATTCAAGGTCAAAGGACGGGGAACTGAAAAAGTGCCACTAAATATTGTCTGATCTTCAAAATTTTGGCACCAAAATGTAGCGCGTGCAAAGTTCTAGCCGCACATCGAAAACCATTTTCATCAAGGTCAAACTTCAAGGTCAAATTCAAGGTCAAAGGACGGGGAACTGAAAAAGTGCCACTACCTAAATATTGTCCGATTTTCAAAATTTTGGCACCAAAATGTAGCGCGTTCAAAGTTCTAGCCGCACATCGAAAACCATTTCCATCAAGGTCAAACTTCAAGGTCAAATTCAAGGTCAAAGGACGGGGAACTGAAAAAGTATCACTAAATATTGTCAGATTTTCAAAATTTTGGCACCAAAATGTAGCGCGTGCAAAGTTCTAGCCGCACATCGAAAGCAATTTTCATCAAGGTCACTCTTCAAGGTCAAATTCAAGGTCAAAAGACGGGGAACTGAAAAAGTGCCACTAAATATTGTCCGATCTTCAAAATTTTGGCACCAAAATGTAGCGCGTGCAAAGTTCTAGCCGCACATCGAAAGCCATTTTCATCAAGGTCAAACTTCAAGGTCAAATTCAAGGTCAAAGGACGGGGAACTGAAAAAGTGCCACTAAATATTGTCCGATTTTCAAAATTTTGCCACCAAAATGTAGCGCGTGCAAAGTTCTAGCCGCACATCGAAAGCCATTTTCATCAAGGTCAAACTTCAAGGTCAAATTCAAGGTCAAAGGACGGGGAACTGAAAAAGTGCCACTAAATATTGTCCGATCTTCAAAATTTTGGCACCAAAATGTAGCGCGTGCAAAGTTCTAGCCGCACATCGAAAACCATTTTCATCAAGGTCAAACTTGAAGGTCAAATTCAAGGTCAAAGGACGGGGAACTGAAAAAGTGCCACTAAATATTGTCCGATTTTCAAAACTTTGGCACCAAAATGTAGCGCGTGCAAAGTTCTAGCCGCACATCGAAAGCCATTTTCATCAAGGTCAAACTTCAAGGTCAAATTCAAGGTCAAAGGACGGGGAACTGAAAAAGTGCCACTAAATATTGTCCGATCTTCAAAATTTTGGCACCAAAATGTAGCGCGTGCAAAGTTCTAGCCGCACATTGAAAACCATTCTCATCAAGGTCAAACTTCAAGGTCAAATTCAAGGTCAAAGGACGGGGAACTGAAAAAGTGCCACTAAATATTGTCCGATTTTCAAAATTTTGGCACCAAAATGTAGCGCGTGCAAAGTTCTAGCCGCACATCGAAAGCCATTTTCATCAAGGTCAAACTTCAAGGTCAAATTCAAGGTCAAAGGACGGGAAGCTGAAAAAATGCCACTAAATATTGTCCGATCTTCAAAATTTTGGCACCAAAATGTAGCGCGTGCAAAGTTCTAGCCGCACATCGAAAACCATTTTCATCAAGGTCAAACTTCAAGGTCAAATTCAAGGTCAAAGGACGGGGAACTTTAAAAATGCTACGTCACCAGCGACTTTTCCAGCGACGAGCACCGATTTTAGCCAAAACCTCGTTCAAGGTCAATTGGACCATGAGGATCACGAAAATCGAACCCATTCACCCCTGAACCTTGACCTTCAAGGTCAAATTCAAGGTCAAAGGACGGGGAACTGAAAAAGTGCCACTAAATATTGTCCGATTTTCAAAATTTTGGCACCAAAAAGTAGCGCGTGCAAAGTTCTAGCCGCACATCGAAAACCACTTTCATCAAGGTCAAACTTCAAGGTCAAATTCAAGGTCAAAGGACGGGGAACTGAAAAAGTGCCACTAAATATTGTCCGATCTTCAAAATTTTGGCACCAAAATGTAGCGCGTGCAAAGTTCTAGCCGCACATCGAAAACCATTTTCAGCAAGGTCAAACTTCAAGGTCAAATTCAAGGTCAAAGGATTGGGAACTGAAAAAGTGCCACTAAATATTGTCCGATCTTCAAAATTTTGGCACCAAAATGTAGCGCGTGCAAAGTTCTAGCCGCACATCGAAAACCATTTTCATCAAGGTCAAACTTCAAGGTCAAACTTCAAGGTCAAATTCAAGGTCAAAGGACGGGGAACTGAAAAAGTGCCACTAAATATTGTCCGATTTTCAAAATTTTGGCACCAAAATGTAGCGCGTGCAAAGTTCTAGCCGCACATCGAAAGCCATTTTCATCAAGGTCAAACTTCAAGGTCAAATTCAAGGTCAAAGGACGGGGAACTGAAAAAGTGCCACTAAATATTGTCCGATTTTCAAAATTTTGGCACCAAAATGTAGCGCGTGCAAAGTTCTAAGCGCACATCGAGAACAATTTTCATCAAGGTCAAACTTCAAGGTCAAATTCAAGGTCAAGGGACGGGGAACTGAAAAAGTGCCACTAAATATTGTCCGATTTTCAAAATTTTGGCACCAAAATGTAGCGCGTGCAAAGTTCTAGCCGAACATCGAAAACCATTTTCATCAAGGTCAATCTTCAAGGTCAAATTCAAGGTCAAAGGACGGGGAACTTTTTCAGTTCCCCGTCCTTTGACCTTGAATTTGACCTTGAAGTTTGACCTTGATGAAAATGGTTTTCGATGTGCGGCTACAACTTTGCACGCGCTACATTTTGGTGCCAAAATTTTGAAGATCGGACAATATTTAGTGGCACTTTTTCAGTTCCCCGTCCTTTGACCTTGAATTTGACCTTGAAGTTTGACCTTGATGAAAATGGTTTTCGATGTGCGGCTAGAACTTTGCACGCGCTACATTTTGGTGCCAAAATTTTAAAGATCGGACAATATTTAGTGGCACTTTTTCAGTTCCCCGTCCTTTGACCTTGAATTTGACCTTGAAGTTTGACCTTGATTAAAATGGTTTTCGATGTGCGGCTAGAACTTTGCACGCGCTACATTTTGGTGCCAAAATTTTGAAGATCGGACAATATTTAGTGGCACTTTTTCAGTTCCCTGTCATTTGACCTTGAATTTGACCTTGAAGTTTGACCTTGATGAAAATGGTTTTCGATGTGCGGCTAGAACTTTGCATGCGCTACATTTTGGTG